GCCATTCTTTGTAGCTTTTTCTCTCCAGCTTCCCATTGCTTTGGGACCCCACAACCGGTTCCTGAGGATATTTTAACATTTAAAAAATGTTATAGTTTCCTTCCAAATCATACTTTCTGTATTTATAAAATAACGTATATAATAACTGGCATATAACTTACATAATTGCACTTCAGACTTTTAAAAAATTCACTATGAGCAAAAACACACAACACAAAATCATGAAGAAATAAAGAAATGTACACAAAAACATTCAAGATATATCTAACTAGAGAATGGAGACACAGAAGAATAAGACTCTCTGAGGCCGTCATGAACAGATGCCCTTACCATCACCGTGTAGTCGATCTGCGGTGCCATTTCAGCATTAGTTCCACCCTTCAAACGCAGTTCCGATGGAGCAGCAGCGAACAGAACACAGGGCATTGAAACCTGCATCAAGAGGCACACACTCCTAAGGAGAAAGCAGAATAGGCTTAACTGTACTGTCTTTTCAAGGCTCTTCGAAAAAAGCTGTACTATTTATTACACTTCAGTGCCTGAATGGTAAAATTCCAAGTCTTAAAGAAAATATTTCAAAGTGAAAATATTTCTGATAACCCAATGAGGCTGGGAGTATGACACTCAGCAGCAGAGCATTTGCCTATTATACTTAATGCCCTGATTTGGTGCCTAAAATCACACACACACACACACACACCAAACCAAAAAGAAAAGAGTTAAGGGCCAGGCGTAGTGGCGCATGCCTGTAATCCCAGCACCCAGGAGGCTGAGGCAGGAGGACTGTTATGAGTTCAAGGCCAGCCTGGGCTACAAAGTGAGCTCAAGGCCAGCCTGAACTGCATAGTGAGACCCTGTCTCAAAAAGACCAAAAAAAAAAAAGGTTAAGCAAATCTAAGTTTGAAGTCAAGACTAAACATACTGGATAAGTCTTGGCTAGCTTCTGACACTTTGTTTTATATTACAAAAATAAAATAATAAAAAGGCAAAGCATTCTTCAAATGTTTTAACAGACTCTTGAAAGTAGCAGTTTATGAATACTGTATTCAAAACAATCACAATCCAGAAATATTCAACTGCTTCCGAGTCGCTACCATGCACAAGGCGCTGTTTCAAGTATCAAGGCCAGACAAGGTTCCTGCCATTATGGAGTTCATGATAGGATAAAGTAATCTTTTACAAAGTCTGAAAATTAAATATTTCACGTGGAAAAGTTCAATCCTTATGGTCAAAAATGTGAGAAGTGACAAGAAATGCTCACAGAACATGAAATATTTTCTAAAATGAAACATTTGGTCAGATTGAGCTGTTATTCTCCTTCTCCAGTCACAAGAAACAAACATACTCAAAAGTAAATGGTAGTCTGAAAGGGAATTTGATTAGCTCTCATGTAGTGAAACATAGATCTTAACTTTCTTTTGACAAAAATACACATATACTCGAAAGTATTGCTGATATAAAGAATTTCATTTTTTCAACAATATTTATTAATTAAAATGTGTTTGGTACTGGAAGAGAAAAATACAAATCCTCGTTCTCAAAGAGTTGGGCCAACGAGCAAATAAGAAGGACTTGGAAATGTCTGTCTTGCTATAAGCCAGAGCTTCACAACTACAACTGAACTCCTCTGTTATCCCCTCTGAGTAAACCAAAACATAAAGTATTTTTCTCTTTTTTTTGAAGACAAGGGCCTTGAACTCATTATGTAGCCCAAGCTAGCCTCCAACTTCAGGAGATCCTCCTACCTCAGCTTCCTGAGTGCTGGATTACAGGCATGCACCACCATGGCCAGCTAACGTATTTATTTTCTCACTGATAAAGTCAGACTCTAAAGATAGTAAATGCTGGGTACAGAGGCACATATGTGTGATTCCAGCACTCTAACGGCTGAGGCAAGACGATTCAAAGTTTTGAGCCCAAAGTTGCAAATTTGGCAACTTGGCAAGACCCTGTCTCAACAAAGGAACAAAAGAACAAAAGAAAAACAGACTGACCTCAAGCTGGGCATGGTGGTATACAACTGTTATCCCAGCTATCTACCTGAGAGGCTTAGACAGGAAAAATGAAAAGCCAGCATGGGCAATGTAGGGAGACTCTTTCAAAATAACATGAGCTGGAGATGTAGCTTACCGGAAAAGCACCTGACCAGGAAGCACAAGGCTCTGTCATGAATCCCCAGCACCACAGAGGGAGAAAGGGTCAGAGGGAGGGACCTATACTGCATACAGGATAAAACGCCAGAGAAAGTAACAGCTATCACTAAGCTACTAGGCAGTACCACTTTTTTAGATTCATTATCTTTAACCTTCAAACTATCCCATGGCATTTTTTAATTCAGGACACTGGAGCACAAAGAGTTTAAGCAACTTTTCCACTAAGCGGTAGAAACTAGATTTGAACCTAACTCCAAAACCCATACTTTAATGGCTTGTAAGTGATACATACCCTGCTGTCTTGGTATCCGCAGTGTGGATTCCACCTCTGATCTTCTCTGGTGTAAACGTTATTTCTGTTGAGCCAATTTCTGCCCCCTCCAGGTGCCCATCACACAAATCGCGAATCATTTCCAGTCCAGATAAATGTTGAGGCCTTCAGGTCATAATACTGCATCAAAACGTGTGCATTCAGACTGCCTCTATCCCCACAGTTTATGATATATTTACACAACTGCGATGGCAAGCAAACGGCAAGGTCTAACCATAGCGGGTACTGCATCTCCAGTGCCAGGGCTTCCTTTTGGGTTTTCACACACCCAGAGTACTAGTAGGCATCAGAGTTCCTTTGAGACCAGTTATTTAGGCTATAAACACACACACTGATGTACGGCTGCAAATTATGAGTGCACAAAAGAGAACCAATAAACGTAGGAGCCACCAGCCTTGCTTACATTTCACTATATGACCTGTGGTACCTATTATGGTATGGACTGGGTTTTCCCAAAATTCGTATGTTGAAACTCTAATCCCCAGTACATTACACCATGATGGCATTTTGAAACACGTAATTAAGTTAGAAGGAAGCGATTAGAGCCGGCCTCCATAAAATCTTACTGGCATCCTTGTAAGAGATTAGGACATACAGAGAAGAAATCAGTGGTAGGGTTCACAGAGAAACCATCTTGTCAAAAGTCAACAAGAGGGAGATCTGCAAGTCAAAGTAAAAGGACTGGAACGTCTGCCCTTGTGGCCCTCAGAGGAAACCGAGGCTGCCAGCACCCTGACCTTGGACTCAGTTTCTACAACTGTGACAAAAATATTTCTGTTGCTTAACCCATCCAATCTGTGGTATTCCAGAGGCTGGGGATTTAGCTCAGCGGCACAGCGCCTGCCTGGCAAG